CTTTTGACTCGAGGGTTATCGACAAATTTAACCGATCTGCAGGTTTGGTCGTACAACGTTGTGCACGTGCGGGTAAACTGAAAGCGGCGCTCTGCGAGATAACTACCGTTCTTTAATTAATACACCACTCGAAATGATGCTCCATCAATGCTTATCCGTGTGTATCGGATTGATTTCCTCGTGTCTGTGATTTCGCAGAGTTATTGAGACGATGATATCACGGCGATAACCGGCTGGAACGTGTTTGAAAAACGTACCGTATGTTATCGTGCGCGAATAGAGGAAAAATCAAACATCTTTACGGACAGCAATCTCAGCAAGCAATTTCTTGCTTCGATCAGTAATCGCCATTATAACGGTAATGAGTCAATATTATTAATGTCATGGTCATATTATATTAATCAGTTGCTCGTATATCATTAACAACAAGACACTATTTCGTAGTAGCGACACTGGCTAGATCGATATTAATAATTTACGCTCGCGTGTCGTTCGGCTTGATTGACGCTTAAGGATGTGGTCCTTATAGGAAGCCATTGAAAATTAGAAACAAACTGATACACGGTATTACGTACAATGCAGTTGAGTAATATATTTTTATCTCAACGTCATATTTTCTTCTCATAGTTCATTTACTTTATTTTATTTCTCATCTCTGATTTTCATTTTATCTTTAGACCCCAACAAAACTTTTGCGTCATTTGGAATATTTTAAGTATATGCGCACACAGAAAGTGAGATTTGAGAGGAATTATTATTTGTTGGTTATTTTCTCTTTTACTATAGGTAGCAACGTCTCATACTTTCGGAACGCCGCATTAATGGCGCATTAATGATGCATTGTTGACGTTAGAGACGCCATTAATGCGTCACATTAAAACGCCATTTCACGTCATCGTGTTTTCGTCATCGTGTTTTTCACCTCAAAGCTTCGAAGTGGAATAACCTTTGATACGAACTCTGAATCAAAATGTCAGATTGTTTGCGATCATTTTCACACATAATGCATATTAATTTCCGAATCCCTCAGAGTGTTTTCGCGTTATTTTCGCGGGCGATACACGGAGTTTAATCGTATCGCGCGATCGTGATCCGTCGTGATGCGCCCTCATTTTTTTCCCTTTTCTCGCAAATTACCTGAGGAGAATCTTATTATCCCTCGTCCATCGTTTCGACTCGTTCGCGCCCGCAAACATGTTACGCGATCGATGCGACGCGCGGATCGATCGATCCGCCAGATGGATGATCCGGAAGTGTTACGTGGCCGAGTTCCTTCCTCCGACGTGGCGCGCCACGCTCTATGCTCATTTGACGTGATGCGCGCGATCGCTGAAGGACGCACACCTACGGACGATGCGTAAAGACGGCTCGAGGCAAGACGAGCTCGATCGAGGATAGGACGAGCGCAACGCTCATGCGTCCAGCGGCGGTTTCTCGATCGCGGATCGATCGCGTCGCCGATGGGCCTCTCGCTCTGCGGATCTACGCGATCGGATATCCCCGCGATCTGTCATGGTTGGTCGGCCGGAACAGCCGATAGCTTCCGTTCGTGGAGGCTAATGAGACGCGATGGGAGTCGCGCGCGATCCTCTCGCGGCTTCTTCCACAGTCTCATGCATATATTTCACCGCGTCGCGTCCTGCCGAGCGTCATCGTCGCTAGAAACGAGGGGGAAACAACTCTCTTTCGCTCTCTTGTCACATTCATTCACTCTCGACACTCGCCATTGCGCCGATCCTCCGTGCTGACGCGCGCCTTTCGTGTTTAAATTGACGCGCGTCCAAGCCGAGAGTAAATGCGTGTAAATTTCAAGCGGAAAGGCGCGAGATCAGGTGTGTGCTCGTGCGTAGATAAAAATCACTCGCGCCTCGGGGAAAGTAGACGTGCCGAGAGGAAAGAAACGCGGAAATGAGACGCGACTATATACAGTCGATCGCCGTGAACACGTATTGGATATTCCTCGTCGGTGGTATTTCGCCATTTAATGTTCCATATCAGCACGCTCCAAATACGAATAGTTCGCGCCAATGTGTATGTGCGCGTGTAAAAGAATAACAAAATTTCTGCGGCGTAATAACGCGCTATGCGGCGCTGCGGTATGACGCGTTTATCGCATCTTTGTACCGTGCTTCGATACGATAAGTCTCCCGAAAGCTTTGAGTAAAAAGTTTATCCCCTCACGCTGAAACCGCGAATGATATTTCAATGGTTGTCACGTTATGCGTTCGTTAGTTATATTGGTCAACAAAAAATTGCGGAAAGTGGCGACAGAAATGCCAAAGATGACAATTTTGTAATGTAAATTTTATCACACGATTTTCATGCAATAAGCGCGAATAAGCATCTTCAAAGTATAGTATTACAATATAGTATATTATTATTATAATACATTATTTTGTAAATTATCTTTCAAAACATTTTTCAGTTTTAATAGATATATTACGTAGTGATACCTTATATATATATATATATATATATATATATATATATATATATATAT